CTCTTTTTCCTTATCTAATCTACACCGTTCCTTTCTCTCTCCCCTCTCTCTTTTATTTGTTCCTTTATATATATATATATATATATTTCTCAGTTATTACATGGATTCCCAAAGTTAGTCAAGGCTGAAGGTGCCCTTGGGTATGGTGGTGTCCATATTCTATAAATTTGTTCATTCTATTAGTTAAAGTTGTGACTGCTCTAAATGATTGCAGGTTGTACAAAGGGCTTGTTCCTCTTTGCGGACGTCAAATTCCATGTAAGCCATAACTTTTTCACCCTTTGATTTTTCCTGTATTCATTCGGGATTAGAGCCTTTGAATTCCCTGAATCTTTAAACTACTCTTTTATATCATTCATGACTTCTCTGCAAGTTTCCCCCGTTTCCCTGTTTAATCTCTATATCTTGATCTAATTGGTTGTTATAATTACTTAGAAGAGTTTAATGATTATACAAAAAGATAAAGTAGAATTTTAGAAGGGAATGATGAAAATGGGAAGGTTGCATTTGCAGATACAATGATGAAATTTGCATCTTTTGAGAGGATTGTGGAGATGGGATACAAGCATGCCATCCCAACTCCAAAAGAACAGTGCAGTAAGACCCTGCAACTTGGGGTGAGCTTTGCTAGTGGATACATTGCTGGTGTCTTCTGTGCAGTTGTCTCACACCCCGCGGACAACTTGGTATCTTTTCTCAACAATGGGAAGGGGCAAACTGTGGGCGATGTGAGCGGATTTTATTCCTAAAATATCCCTCCTAAGCAATAAATATTCCTCTTTCCGTAAGTTCACGTGCTTTGTTTTTGTTTCCTGTTGTGTTTACAGGCGGTGAAGAAACTAGGATTGGGGGTCTTTTTACCCGTGGCCTCCCTCTTCGTATTCTCATGATTGGAACACTTACAGGAGCCCAGTGGGGAATTTATGACGTTTTAAAGTTTTTGTTGGATTGTAAGTTCTCTACCACCATTTTCCCATTATAAGTCTACTAATTGATTAACGTTTTGTATTTGCTCATCTGCCAGTGAGTCTGTTTAGTCTATTGACTTCAAATTTGTTGGGGGCGGTTTTTCAGGCATACAACTGGTGGGGTCACTCCTGCTCAGGCAGCTGTTATCGAAGCATGAATTTAGATGATGTTTTTTTACAAGCACAAAGTGGTTTGTTTATTTCAGATGAGGGATCTTCCTTTGGACAGGGCACAGCCGTTATATGCTTTCATAAATTTCTGCAGGTCTCTCTTTTCACATTTGTTCTTGATTCTTTCTGGTTCAGTTAATTTCTGAGTATTTTTATTTCATCTTCTATGAGTTCGGGACCTTACCCATGGTTGCAAGTCATGTTTCAATTATAGTTTACAGGTAGCAGAGAATTTTTATAGTTTATAATAAATTTTAGCTATTACTCTTAGATTCCTGCCATTTTGTCTTTGATTCTTATAATCATTTTTTGTGACCTTATGCAAAGAATGGATAGTTATTTCAAAAAATAATAATAATAAATTTTAGTTATTGGATCCAACATTTGACAACACTCGTTACTGAGAGTTTAAACTGTGAAAGGAAGAATGGCATGTTACATACAAATGAAAGAATATAGAGAAAGGAATGTTAGTGGCATGTCCTTTCTCTAGTTCAAGGTAATAATAAACAATTGCAGAAAATTATAAACAGAGCTTAAAATTTTTCACATTTCACATGCTATGGCATTCAAAAATGTTATGGAGGGATAGTGTTCTGGGTTAGGCTGAAAGGGTATACAGTATCAAAGACAATCCTAGCAAATACATGGCGAACTTCTTGCATGCTTCCTAAAGCTAAGGACTCATAGTCAATCTTACTGCCTTGCTTTGCCAAAAATCTCTCCTCTGGACCATCTCGCACGCATCCAAAAATCCTGCATGCTTTTAAATACAATGCCAACGATATAAATACCTGCACATTTAAGAAAGTTATCAGTCAATATATGATAGTCCGTGCAAACAAAAAATGACATTGAACCAAGGCCCTCCCAGCCAATCAGAGAAACCAGAGGCTAATTTTTTTGTCTGTCGGCTGAAAGAGGACCAGAAATGAAAATGAAGAAAAGAGT